GGTATTGGAATAAACAACTATGTCTTTTATATATAGAACAGCATTCCACTTAACAAAAGGCTTTGGTTGGTCTACATAGCCTGAATCATCTGATTTTTCGTCAGTGGTTACACAAAATTGTTTAAAGGAGTAGTTCACCCCAAAATGAAAATATGCTGAAAATGGACTGATCCTCGGTGCATCCAAGATGTAGATGAGTTTGTTTCTTCATCAGAACAGATTTTAGCTCACCATTGGATCCTCTGCAGTGAATGAGTCTACATAAGGAATTACTAATGATTTGGATCAGTATTCTAAAGTGAATAAAATGATAACTCTCTAGTAATGACTAAAATCATTGTTTTAGTCAAGCGATTGGGGGTTTTGTAAGGTTTTGGAAAATAATTCCTTTTGCTTGATAACACTTGAGTCATTACTAGTGGGTTACCATGATCTTCACTTATTTAGAATACTGATCCAAATTATTAGTAATTCCTTTAGAAGGATGTAGTAACACTTGAGTCATTACCATCCAAAACCTTACATATACCTCAAAAGCTTACATCAGCCAATATTAGGAAGTTATCATGCTTTTCACTTTAGAATACTGATCCAAGTAATTAGTAGTTTATAAGTATTAATTATTTGTAATACTTGAGTCATTACTAGTGGATTAACATGATCTTTATTTTAGAATTAACCCATTTAATAAAAAAAAAATTCTCAGACATGAAAATATCAAAATGATGTGTCATTAGTAACCCCTTGACATAATCAATATATATATATGTTTGATGGTTGGTCACAATTGTGACCGGTGGGATAATGTGTACACTGAAATTAAATTATTTCTGCAGTCATCAAAATTCGTATATATATCAGCCCAGTTATTAACCCATTTTAAACTATTTCATCACATTCTATGGTTACTATTATACATAAAACCATTATACAACACTGAATAAGTATACTAAGATATATATATATATATATATATATAAAGTTATTATCCCACCGGTCACTATTGTTGCCATCAACAAGTTTACTCATTCTATGTCCACACTCAACAAAACTGAATACTTGTGAATTAATATATTAATATAGACACCTTAAAGATAATGTGTACCAAAAATCTTTGTCATATCTTTATGTTA